CTGTCCCCCTGTCCCTCTGTCCCTGTCCCCCTGTCCCTCTGTCCCTGTCCCTCTGCCCCCCTGTCCCCCTGTCCCATCTCCGTCCCCGTCCCCGTGTCCCAGGACGAATCCCAGCAGAAATCCCCAAAGCAATCCCGGCATCCCAAAAGAATCCCGAAGGAATCCCAAAGAAACCCCGGAATCCCGAAAGGAATCCCAGCAGAAATCCCCAAAGGAATCCCAGAATCCCAAATGGATCCCGGAATCCCGAACAGATCCCAGAACCAATCCCAGAATCCCAAAGCTGATCCCAAAAGAAATCCCAGAACAAATCCCAAAATCCCGGAACCAATCCCAGAATCCCAAAGCTGATCCCAAAAGAAATCCCAGAACAAATCCCAAAATCCCGGAACCAATCCCAGAATCCCAAAGCTGATCCCAAGCCCAATCCCAGAACGGGCCCCAGAATCCCCCCAAAAATCCCAAGTAAATCCCAAACCATTCCCAAAATCCCAAATGGGTCCGAAACCAATCCCGGAACCAATCCCAAAATCCCGGAACCAACCAGAGAATCCCAAAGAAATCCCAAACCGATCCCAAAACCCCCAAACCAATCCCAAAGGAATCCCAGAACGAATCCCAGGATCCCCAAAAAGATCCCAAGTAAATCCCAAACCCATCCCAGAATCCCAAATGGATCCAGAACCAATCCCAAAACCAATGCTGGAATCCCGGAACCAATCCCAAAATCCCAAAGCAATCCCAGAACCAAATCCCAAAAGAAATCCCAGAATCCCGAATGGATCCCAGAACAAATCCCAGAATCCCAAAAGGAATCCTGAAGGAATCCCAGAATCCCAAAGCAATCCCAAAATCTGAACTGGATCCCAAAACAAATCCCAGAATCCCAAGTGGATCCCGAATGGATCCCAGAATCCCCCCAAAATCCCAAACCGATCCCAAAGAAATCCCAGAATGGATCCAAGAATCCCCCCCCCAAAAAAATCGCAGGATCCAAAAAATCCCAAAGAAATCCCAGAGTGGATCCCAGAATCCCAAAGAAATCCCAAACCAATTCCAGAACGGATCCCAGAATCCTGGAACCGATCCCAGAATCCCAAACCAATCCCAAGCAAATCCCAAACTATTCCCACAATCCCAAATGGATCCGGAACCAATCCCAGAACCAATCCCAGAATCCCAAAACTGATCCCAAAACCAATCCCACAATCCTGGAACCAATCCCAAAATCCCAAACCAATCCCAAAGGAATCCCAGAACCAATCCCAGAATCCCCCAAACAAATCCCAGGTAAATCCCAAACCATTCCCACAATCCCAAATGGATCCCAGAATCCCAAAAAACCCCAAAACCAATCCAAGAATCCCAAACCAATCCCAGACCAATCCCAAAACCGATCCCAATCCAATCCCAGAACGGATCCCAGGATCCCGGAACCAATCCCGGGATCCCAAATGGAGCCCAGGATCCCAAAGAAATCCCAAACAAATCCTGAACCAATCCCAAAACCATTCCCAGAATCCCCCAAAAAATCCCAGGTAAATCCCAAACCATTCCCACAATCCCAAATGGATCCAGAGCCAATCCCAGAATCCCAAAACCGATCCCAAAATAAATCCCAGAACAAATCCCGAAATCCCGGAACCAATCCCAAAATCCCAAACGGATCCCGGAATCCCGAACAAATCCCAAAACCAATCCCAGAATCCCAAAACCGATCCCAAAATAAATCCCAGAACAAATCCCGAAATCCCGGAACCAATCCCAAAATCCCAAACGGATCCCGGAATCCCGAACAAATCCCAAAACCAATCCCAGAATCCCAAAACTGATCCCAAAACCAATCCCAGAATCCAGGAACCAATTCCAAAATCCCGGAACCAATCCCAGAATCCCAAAGAAATCCCGAAACCAATCCAAGAATCCCCAGAAAAATCCCAAGCAAATCCCAAACCATTCCCAGAATCCCAAATGGATCCCGAAATCCCAAAGAAATCCCAAAACCAATCCCAAAACCAATCCCAGAATCCCAAAACTGATCCCGAACCAAATCCCAAATGGATCCCAAAGAAATCCCAAAGAAATCCCAAACCAACCCCAGGATCCCCCAAAATCCCAAAAGGATCCCAACCCCCCCCTCGGGATTTGGGGTTTTTTTGGGAATGTTCCGGATTTGCTGCTGGGATTTGTGCCCAAGGCACAATTTTGGGGCTTTTTGGGGGGGGGATTTGGGATTTTTGGGGATTTGATTTTTTGGGGGAATTGGGATTTTTTGGGGGTTTGATTTTTTGGGGGATTTGGGATTTTTTGGGGGATTTGGGATTTTTTGGGGGATTTGAGATTTTTAGGGATTTGGGATTTTTTGGGGGGACTTGGGATTTTTTGGGGGATTTGGGATTTTTTGGGGGATTTGAGATTTTTAGGGGTTTGGGGTTTTTTGTGGGGTTTTGGGATTTTTGGGGGGGT